CATCATCTCAAGCCATTGTATATCACGGCCCAGGTCGAGGAGACACAATTGTACAAAAATTTTGTTGATTATGGAGCCATGGTCAATATTCTCCCATGTTCGATGATGAGGAAACTGAGCAAAATAGAGAAAGACCTTATCCCAAGTGGGGTCACTATGAGTAGCTTCATCGGCGACAAATCCAATACCAAATGAGTGTTGTCGTTAAAGATAACCGTGGCCAATCATACACGAATATCGGCCTTCTATGTTGTAGACTCGCATGTCAATTACAACATGCTACTAGGCCGAGATTGGATCCATCAAGTGAATTGCATGCCTTCCTCGCTTTTTCAACTGTTCTTCTTTTGGGACGACAAGAAGGTGTCAATTCACCTGGCTGACAACAAGCCATTTGATGTTCTTTCATGACAGGCTGAGATATATGACAATGACGTTGGCTGGATCACTTTGATTGGACACAATGCAAGTGGTCGACCCTTAAGAATCTCAGTCTAGAAGGTTCTTGAATTAGGAACCAAAAATGTTTATTAGGACTCGGCGCGCGAGGTGTTGATAGACTTAACAAGTTTTTATAGAGTGACACCACAACAAGGGAAGAAGGAGCAGCCGCAATCGTCGACTTGATGCAGCGACTGCTTGAGTATTGGGCCTAAGAATCACTACAACCGAACTCGGCCGTGAATCTAATCAAGTTTTTACAAGAAGCTGGAGATCGCGAAGTTTTGAACATTGAAGACCTCGATCCAGCCCCAGCTGAGATGAAGGATAGTTGCCCCAGGGTTTAAGATCCATTAATTGAGATCAATGTAGGAACCCAGCCCTACACACAACCTCTTTTTTGCTAGCACACTTTGAGTTCTAAGTTGAGCGAGCAAGTTGTAAGTTTACTTCATGAATACAAGGACTAATTTGTTTGGCGTTACCACGAGATGTCAGGATTATGAATTATTGCAATATGAACTTAGCTACCCCAAATGACGAGTATTCGATGCCTTTTGTGGATAGAGCTTCGAAGCATGAGCTTCTTTCCTTCATGGACGGCCATGCCAGATACAATCACATAATTATCGTTGAGGAGGATGTTCACAAAATGGCGTTTAGATGCCCAGCTGTTATTAGGACTTATGAATGGGTTGTCATGCCATTCTTGCTCAAAAATGCTGGAGCAACATACCAACAAGCCATGAATCTCATTTTCCACGACCTAATCAGCCATACTGTCGAGGTATATATTGATGATGTCGTGGTCAAATCAACATCTAGTGCTAGTCATACGGAAGATCTTCTACGCACATTCAAGGGGATGTGAACGTACGGACTAAAGATGAATTCTAAGAAATGGGCATTTGGCGTTACGGCCGAGAATTTCCTTGGTTTTCTGGTCCACCAGAGAATTGAGGTGGACAGGAATAACTGTATCATGATAGAGCCTGGTTCTTTCCTTACAGATGTTCTCATGCTCATAGGCTTCATTCTGGAGCTCATCCAAGTCACTCACTTGCATCTTCCCATCTAAAGCATCAATTGTAAAACATTCAAAAGAATTTGAAGGATATGACATGAATCAAACACTTTATATTCTACAGTTTCGTTTAGGAATGTGATGGTGAGCTTGCCATCCTTCACATCAATTATTGTATTGGTTGTAGCCATGAATGGGCGTCCCAGCAAAATAGGCAAGTCTCGGTCATGCAAAGGTGCATTTTCCATATCTAAAATCACAAAATTAGTAGGAATTAATAATTTATCAACTTGGATTAATACGTCTTCAACAATGCTTATTGGATATTTAATTGAACGATATGCAAATTGTAGAGACATCGTAGTCGGTTTTAAATCACCCAAACCTAACTAAAGAAAAATAGAATAAGGCATTAAATTAATACTAGCTCCTAAATCAAGCATGGCCTTTCCTACTTTTGTATCACCAACAGTAATATTAATAGTAAAATTCCATGGATCCTTGTGCTTGGGTGGAAGCTTCCTTTATAGCACTGCGCTTACTGCTTCTGCAACCGTCACCTTTCATAAGGTTCATACTTACGCTTGTAAGTATTTAACTCCTTAAAGAACTTTGGAAACGCTCGCATGTTCCTAATCACATCAAGCAATGATAAGTTCGCATTAACCTTAGATAAAATGTCATAAATGTGAGCCCTTGAAAAATTCTAGAATATTATTACGCTCACAATATTAATTGCACGATCCAATTTGAGATAATTGCACAATCATAGAAAATTAGTAGACATCAATATGAGCCTGTGGTATTTTTTGGAGAATTTTTCTAAACTCGGAGGTATTTTTGGTGAATTTTCAAAGTTGGAAAATAAGAAAATCAGAATAGTAACCGCCACATGGCAGCTTGTGATTGGTTGGTCCATCGATGATTGAGTTCATATATTTTTTTGAGATACAAATAGGTTTTACGATACTATTTCGTGAACTCGTTTAATATAGACCGTTGATTTATTCTAGGATTAGATCAGAATCGTAGGATCAAATCAAAGAGTTCTGATTTGATTTGGCCCATTAGATAGGTAGTTGGGAATGCATCTGGACCATCCATCTATGAACTACTATGCTCCTTCCCATATGTTACCGAAACTCAACTTTCAATCTAGACCTTCGAATTAAATATTTAAATTGATCTGAACTATTTGGGTATTCTATAAATACCCATTTCCTCCCACTTTTTTCACACCAAAAACTCTCCAAAACCTTCCTCCCTCCCTTCCTCTCCTCCTCCACCATTAAAGTCACTATTTTGATATTCTTCAAAGTTACTGTTCATATGAAACCACTATTCGTACCTGAAATCGCTCGTCGTGTCTACTATTCATTGTTTCGTGTCATCTTCACTCGGGTTACTATTCAGTCATAGTATTTTACTGAGGTAATTTCTCTCCCCTACTTTGTCTTTTAGTCATTTCAAATTTCATATTTCCTTTCTAAAGTGTATTCTGCCCAATTTAAAATTGTTAAATTCAATTAATTATATTTTTTTAAATTGTGTAATTTTCTAAGTTATTCCTAAAATTGGACCCTTATGCCGTTACTCTGCCTGTTTGAATTCTAATCAAAACATTCTTATGGACCTATTTTCCATTTTCCTTGGACTATTATTACCGGACCGAATTATACGTATTTCCTCTAGTCTAGATGTATGAACAATATTAGAATATTTGGACATTTTGGATCGTATTACAATTACTTGAGACTTGAAGGACCTATGCAATTATTGGGCAATATGAGGACCTAATAACAATTGGGACAAAATTAAAGGACCAAAGTGCAATTAAAATAGATATAAGGACCAAAGTGAAATAAACACAAGTATAAGGACTTAAGTCCAAATCATGAATTTTTAGTAACATTTTTAAATGTTGGACTAGGACTCAGTTTCCCAGGAAAGGTAGGTTGAGTTCGAAGGCGTAGAGGGCAAGTTAAGTTTGAGCTTTGGATTCCAGGTAAGGGTACTCACTCTCGGGCTTGTATTTTTAGTGTATGTATGACATAGTAAATATTGTTGTATGCAAAAGCTGCATTGATTTTGGATGCCATATGTGCATGGCTTTATGGATACTTGGGTTTGGATTTTTCCAAAGTTTTGAAGGGTATACTTATACGGGCATTATCCTCGATGACTTGAGGGTTAATGGGGTATAGCGACTTCCCTGGGTTTCGATCCCCTAAACCTTCGGAGGGGCTACACAGACCAACTTTTCCAATACCCTACGCGTGAGGTCTAGTTGAAGTAGTGTAGCCGATAAATAGATACTCTCGCTATTGTACCAAGTAAGTTGTTAATATATTTTTTTTTTTGGTAGGGGTATAGCCGATAAATAGATACTCTCGCTATTGTACCAAGTAAGTTGTTAATATATATTTTTTTTGGTAGGGGTAGTTGGCCTATAGGGATTAGTCGTCAAACAAGCATATTGTGGGTACCAAAAAACGTTTGTGAAAGTTGTGTGAGCATGCCAACTGTTTTTGGATCCTATATTTATATGAAAATAGTTTGTGTTGTGCACTCTTTAAATTTGTTTTTCTTAAACAATATTGTATTATTTTTCGCTATTCTATTTTCAAACTTGGCTGGGAGCCTCCCTATTGGGCAGATGAACGTATGTGATGCTCACCCCTACTTTTCCTTGTAGATCAAAATCCTTGAGCGTCACCTTATTGTTTTTTCGGGACCTGTCAACAACTTGTTCTTGTTCCTTGTCCATCTTCGACATGTCGTGATTTCCTCTCCTTGGAGTCAAGTGTGCTTGTTCATGTCCCTCCTATGTTTATAAATAAAGAATGGGTTGGCGTGTATTTTAATTTTTAGTTCGTAAAATAACTTTCGACATTTCTGGCACTATTCACAACCACCGGAGTTGGTTTCTCTATAATAAATTTTTGTTCCATTTTAATTAAATAAAGGACTTAACGTATTTTGAGAATCTTGTGAGTACAACTCCAGAAATTTGGATATTATATTTTCGAGATCCTCAAGGTACGTGTCGTTGTCACATATCCCGATTTTAGGGCTTGACAGAAAAATGATATAAGAGCAAAACTTTGTTTTCAAAAGATTCTGAACAAAATTTTTACAAAATGTTTTATGAAAAAAATAAAGTTATTTTTCAAAAACACCCAACCCTCCTTTTCTCAAATTGTCGTTTGTCACAGTTCTTTCTCCTGTTGATAAGCCATTGTTTAAAAGTTTGTGCACGACCACACCAAGAATATGGATCCTGAACAACTGGCAACCATCGTCCAAGCAGTGCTACAAGCTTTACCACAGAACATCGTGAGCGAGTCGACAAAATGGCTTGCTTTTAAGTTCATTAGTAAGAATTACGATATGTTCATCTCCTAAGAGCAAGCCTATTCTACAAAATCTAAGCTGTTTTCTTCCCAACACAAAAAAGTTGCTCTTCCAACTAATCCATTGTCAACTCAGCCTCCTCCTTGCAAGCAACACTGTAAGATAGCCAAAAATTCTGGTATTTACTTAAATGATCCCAACAAATAACTTGTCAAAGGCACCAAAAAAACAAAAGGGATGTGAGTAGAAAACAGGCAGTATCCTAATCCTTTGGAAGTAACAGTTCCTTGATCATCTAAACTTTTATTTGAAAAAAAGACTTTATTTATTTATATTGCAATATCGCTCAATCCTGAAACAACTTGAAATTGCAGCTTGTGTCCCCACCGAAAATACACATATTTCAATAACCCATTCGATGAATGAGGTGTCTTGAACAGCAATACATCCGATGATGCAGTTCAATAGAGAGACATGACATGCATCAGTTTTCCTGTCATATATATAATATATATTAATCGATCATCATCAGACTTTCATGGACTTCTTCTGTCCAGAAGCTACCTTGGTTAAAATATGAATACAACATCATAAAGCATCATACTTATACACACAGAGGGCACAGTGAGAAAAGTTTCAGTGATATTCTATGTACAGGTGTCATTATTAATGTCAGAAACATGTGAAACAAAGTACCCTGTTTATGGCACAACAAGTAACTGCGCGGTTATTACAATGTTAATCAGGCATCTCTTACCTTAGGCCTGACTTCTGTGGGTGAAAGTGCTTTCTTTGGGCTTAAAGGAACAGTGCTGAACTTGGGAACCAACACCTTAAAACACGGTAGAAAGAGTATGTACAGTGCGGCAAAAATTAAAGGAGCAGCAACGAGCCATCCCAACAACTGCAAAAATTGATACAAGTTAGACATGAAGGGTTCATAAACATAAATAGCAAGACAGAGAGAGAGTTATGATTACAAGATGTTAAGTTGGCAACCTACCGCATGCGCAATACTTAATAAGACCTCACGCGAAGCTTGGCCAGTTAAAACTTTCTTGAAAGCATCAGAAGTTAAAGGAAAATGATCTCCACCGGAAATAATTTCACCAAAGCGCAAGAAAGGTACAATTAAACTTGACAGCAAACAAAAAAGCAATCAGAAATACAATCATATATGTAGCATTAAACGTAAAATGAATGATAAAAGAGAAACTGAAAGCTGTAAGAGAAGTTCTTTTAGGCACTATAACATGTTGTTTCTATTCTCTATGGCCTATATCAACAGACTACAGAAGAAACAATGTACCAAGTACGAGATCAATGGGCAGAACATAAATGTATTCATACTACAAGACCCTTAGATAAACGCAAAAGTACCTCAGTTCTATCGGTGTAGCAAGGACATTAGTCAGCATCACAGTTGGAGCATGGCAATGCGACCCCAGCGATGCAATAGCCATCCCACACAGAATCACAGTTGTCCCTGTTAATGAAACATTAGCTAATATGAGGTCGTGTATTTATTAACATTTTGAGAATCCAACATAAACTCAACTACTGATAAATCTCCACAATTAAACAATTCATTATAACTACAAAGGGGGAATAATAACAACATCCTCCACATTATATCCAGCCTACATTTTCCTAAATGAACCTTCCCGCATGTTTAAATCTCAGATTGTAATTCCTTTCTGTTCTTTGTGCTGCATGATAAAACTCTGAAAACACTTTGAACAATGACTAGACTGTATTGAAACTAAATTCAGAAGCAAGAGCCATACCACATATTGGGAATACTCCCAAGGTAATGCCAAGAGCTGCAGAGAACGCCAACAGCTTAGGTTCGGCACCCCTTCATATCATAATGAAATAAAAATTTAGTGTTTTGTAATAAGATTAACAATAATGACAAAGAAGAAAAATACGCAATTTCGTTTCGAACGTTCACAGCAAAGCAATAAGAAACTACCTTATTGCATTACCATTTTTCCAATCAAATCATTAACATAAGAATCAAAATGCACAATATCCATTGGAAGATTGGTAGGCAATAATTATTCAGAGAAATAAAAGAAATTCTTGAGCAAAAAAAGATAGCAAAAACTGAATCTGAAAGAGAGTACCTGCGGAGGATTTCGTGGAGAGGATCAACGACCTTCTTTTTGAACCAAATGGACAACCCGTTATTAGCCATCGGAGAAATTTCGACTGATTCTTATTGTACTCTTACCGTGAAAGTAGAATGCTGGGAATTGATTTAGGGGTTTTGTCAAGAAAGGAAAGCTTTGGATATGAACTTGGAATGCAGAGAAATGGAAAAACAAAAAGAAATGAATGGCGATGTCTTGGATCTTGAGTCTGACTGTCCTCTTTTGGTTTCCCACGTTTTGATTTATTTAATTGAAATTGAAAATTTGGATCTGAATTTCTGAAACCAGAGAGATTTTTTGTGGTTGGGTTTTCGTTGTGTTGAGAATTCAGATAGACAGACGCTCCTCTATCAGACACAGACAGACCAAATAATAGAAAGAAAAGGTAAAGTTTGTGTTGAGAGGAGATCTCGCATGGGAAGTATTGAGTTTCTATCCGCTGCGGTATACGCTTAAGGTACTTACGCCTCCTGCAGCGTATGGCGTTGAGCAACGTCACGAAATGTCTGCGTGGACTCTTGACAAATCGGTGTTTTTGTGAGTGAAAGTGTACGAAATGCAGAGGATATTTTCCCTCAGCTGATGACAAGTACCTCCTTGGAATGCTCTGTCCCGCAAAGCAACGTGGAGGTTGGATGTGGGATTCTATAATTCATTATTTAAACACAGACATTGTATAGTTTAGTTATATAATGTCGTTTCAATGGCAATTTTGTACTTGTACTAGTTTACTCATTTGTTCGATTTCATTTTTATATAAACGGTAAGATATTTCTAACAATATATAGAATGCAACAGAGTTATACCACCAGAATGGGGCTAGCAACAACATATAGATAGCTCAAATGAACGGTACATGGGTTTGAGGAAGGTGGTGTGGGGTTAATTGTGGGGTGGACAACGGCATCCCATCGTGAGTAGAAGAACTTGCATGTAACAGGAATAGTATTGTTTGGCAATCCTATACAGAATCCTTATCAATCCTAGCAGAACCTAATTAGTTAGGGATAACAAAACAGTATTATTCCCCTGATATACAAGTTTTTCTCAATGGTGAGACGTGTTGTTGAGGGTGTGGTGTCGGCAAAGCATTGTGGGTGTGCACTTCAACTAGTGCAATAGTCAATTAAAGGATCATAACAACTCAAAGTCAAAAGTAACAAAATCCTAGTTTCAGTCAAAATGGGCAACCACGATTTAAATCAATGCCTTATCCTTATCGGCCATAATAATCTTTTACCAAAACGATCGTAAAGTACTCATTGTATCATATGCTTCTTTTTCAGCATCAAATTTATCTCAGGACCTTTGAGAGCAGGAACCAACTACTTAACAATCGCTGTGTACAGTGATATCTTCAGATTTCTTTCCTTATTTTTTGTTAGTGACCTGATATCTTCAGATTTTAAAAAATGTGGAATACCGATTTCCAGAAAAGTACAAGTCTACTTGGAAATAAATGGATATCATTCTGATAATGAGAAACCGTGCTCCAGACACTCTGTTCTGATATCTTGCATTAGACCTTGAAGCATTGTGGGGTTGCTTGTAACAATGGCATCAACACGCTCATACAACATTTCTTGCATGGAATCCATATCATCAACAGTCCACGCATATACTTTCTTCTTTCTCCTGTTAAAACCCAGACATAATAAAAGCATGAAATCTCATAAGATGCATATACTCTAGGTACCATAATGCTTATTCCTCAAGTCAAAGTCATACCCATGTAGAATTCTCACAAGTGTCTCATCAATCAATGGGTGGTATACACCAACGACGCCAGCACCTTTCATCCTCAGTAAGTTGGTTCTCGCCCTGGTAGACGGATCAATCATAACAATGTACCCGACCTGCATCATCATAAGGCAAACACTAACTCAAATTTTGTTCACTGACAGTTTATATCATAGTGCGAGACTGCAAACAATTTCATTGATTCAGCTCCACAGGTGCAGGGACATGCAACAACAAACTGAAACAAAAGATCCTGCAAACTCAAAACTAGTAATGTGTTTAAAGACTAAAGTATTTGCACTGGACCAAGCGGTTTTGGGCTGACGATAGTGCTGTACATCAGGTTTATCTTTGAAGATCTAAAAACAGGAGGCAAGTTCTTCTGCCACTCATACAGAAAAGGTGCAGCTTGTTTGAATTTTGGTCTTTTATACCAAGAATTTCATATACAATAACAAAAACAGGTCGATGAGAAAGAAAGGGGTTAAAAATGACACCCTACAAGCTAACTAACACAGTGATTAAATCAATTTACATAAGAAAAAGGTCATCATATTGCTTAAAAAATAAAAATTGAACTGACCTGGTTAGTAAAAAAAAGGGGGGGCTTATGCAAATGGTTCATGGTAATGATAGGTTCATAAGTTTAGAGACCCAATAGACAGTCATTAAATTCAATCTACTATATGAGACAAAAGTCATTGTATTCCTTAAAAAACAAAATAGAACTGACTGGTTAGTAAGAAAAGGGCTTATGCAGATGGTTCCAGAGAAATTGCTAGATCCAGAAGTTTAGAGACCCAATCAAACATAATGACCCAGAAGGGAGAAGAAAACTTCAGAAAACAGAAAAATAATATTAATAATCACTTCCTCCTGTCAGCTTCATCTTCTCAAAATCTGGCCACAAGTGTTTACATTTGTCAACAGAAGTCATGACTAGCGGAGGGTAATGACGAGCAATCTCAAACTCTTGCTATTATTTTACTATTTTGATATGAAGAGGGTCTTCACAATTGCTAGATATGTAAATATATCTGGTTCACAAAGTAAACATGATATGTGCTTTTTTGCGGTGAACCACACATAGTGATATTTCCTATCATGGTTACTTCAGTTTGGATTATTCAACTAAAAAATAAAACTATACACACACACAAACATATTTACTTTCTTTGTTGAAGGTGCTCCAATCAGAGGTATGTCTACGACTCTACACTCACAAGGCCACATGGACCAAGTGGCGAACCTTAAGTGTATGGCTCACAAGTTTGGAAGTAATGCACAAAAATAAAAATAAAAGAGAAATAAACCTTCAGGCGCTTTAAAAAGAAAAAGAAAAAGAAAAGAACAATTAAAGAATTCTATATCTTTTAAGGAAAACAAACATTTTTAAAAGAAAACTAATTTTACATGTAGACTCCTGCTACTCAAGAGATACGATGCTTGCAGCTAAAAGGAACCGACAGCTTGATCAAAATTATGCATGTACGGAAACCACCCTCTTGAGATCAAAGTCCCTCAACTAATCAAATTCAGCAATGAACACAAACCGAATCATACCTTATATTCAAACATGTCTCTGAGAAATCATGCAAGAGACCCGAAAAAAAATGAAATTGTATGTTGCTAGTTACCGTGACATCTGATGATAGTTTGATTACATCCCTTGCTAAATTGTCACTTTTAGCCCATACTAGGCAATTCTTACACTGCATCCTCTTAACCTGGAAAAAGTTTCATTGAGAAGCTTGAGGCAACTTGGAAAGCCATGTCAATTGATATTACATGTGTGTGAATAACAATAACAATAAGGTAGCAATAATAAATAATAAAGATAAAATTTCCTATGACTTCCGTGAACATGTAGATGTTGACTATGTTTTGGACCTTTTTACGAGTAAATTGTGATTTTAATGATTTAAAGATATAGAATAAACAAGGGTGGGAAAACGAAGCAAAAAAGAAAACTTACAACAGAAAGAATATCACTTGCAAGCCCTTTTTCCCATGATGGAGGCCCGACCTTTATATCTAGAATCACCTGCCGGACTGAACTTGAAATTACCTGCAACAATATTCAGAATCATAGTCAAAGAGCAATTTGGGACAGAGGCAGCTGCTAGGGCACACCAAAAGGATCATTTGCAAAGATTCAAAACTATCATTGAGAGAGCATAAAAGGAGTTCATGAAAGATACCTCCAAAGCCTCTTCAATTGTAGGAACATTTTCATCTGGGAACTTCCTTGCAGATTGATGCACAGAACCAAGATCTTTTATCTACAACCACAAACTAAATATATATTCTCAATCAACATTATCACAAATACCTAACAATATAATTTAAAAATACAGACAATATAATGTTCTAAAGAAAGCCAGTATAGAAAGATTATATATCATATTTTACAAGAAAGCCAGATAGCAAAGAAAATTCACCTCTTTCATACTTAAGTACCCAACCTTAGAAGCATTGTTTCCAGTTAACCGCTGCAAATCCCTGCCTGTGTAATTTGAGAATCAAATCTACAAATACAATTCTAACGAATGATACTCCAACAGAACCTAAAATAATATGATCAAACTTTTAGTTGACATAGTATTTTGATGTCATTTCAGAGATCCAATAATACCTAAATCCTCAGAATTCGAGTTGGCTGTGAACATTCAAACACAAGCTTCATTTTGTTGGTTTGCTTAGTTACAACTACACTTTAAACATCAGGATGATCAATGACAAGCATTTGATTATTAAGGTGCAAAAACTGTGTGCATTTTAACATTGAAACTTCATGACTAAGGTGCATAAACTTCTCAATTTCATTTTTTCTTATGTTCATGAAATCACATGGATTAATGATCTGTGTGGTGTGGACTCTAGGACAGTCATCTAGTGTGTTATTACATAATAAAATGATAACAGAAAGTTCATCGTAGATTTCTTGTTGTTCACAAAAGAAAAGTTATTTGAAAGCAATTGTTAACAATAAGGTAGTCGAATAGTGTAAGATGACAATCACTAGATAAGGAGTAAAATTATGAACATTATGTGAACCAATGTACCTGTCATGGAGCGCAAGCAGAACTCCATCCAAAGAACGAGAAACATCAATCTCAATGCAGTCTACTTGAGAATGAAGAGCAAAATGATATGCAGCCATCTGTTTAGTTGTGAACAAATAATAACATCATGAGAGAGAGAGAGAGAGAGAGAGAGAGCGAGAAGGGGCAGGGAACTCAACAGTCAGAACTTTAACTTGGGGAGGGTGAACCCAAGCTATGCCCCAAGTCAGGCCAAAACTTTTAGTCACTAAAGTTTTGTTGGACAATACTGAATACTAAATTACCCAACCAACTAAATTAATTAATTAAGATTGTGAGCCTACCGTGTTAGGGAAGGCCTTACTTGAGTCACCCCCATGCGCACACACAAGAGGAGGCTCATTTAGCCAGCCACACTTTCTTAACTGCGTCTGTAGAAAAATTGAAACTTACAAAGTAAATATTTGAGTCTACAATGAAAAATATTATAAGTTCTACGAATTATCTAAGTAAAATGCCGCATTTTTCTCGATGAATATAAGAGAATTTTTGTTTCCATTTATAAGCATGCACCATTACTACATTACACAACTTGATATGCCCAGCCATGAAAGAATGCATCAATCAGTTTGATGCCGTCACAATCTACTTAACTAGAATCGAACACCCAAAAATTAATCCAAGAAATGCAAAAAAAGAGAACATCTATTAAATCAAAAGACAAATATAAATTTAAGAACTCCTTGTCTTTTCTAAGACGTTGAGTAACCCAAATGAAAGATACTGCCACTTTGCTCAAATCAATTAAGCCAAAGCCATTATTTCAACAAATTGCGACCGCCCACATAAATTGTTTTCAGCCATTCAGCCCCCATCAAATCCAACATTCTCAGCTTTAAGAAAACAATAAACTCATAGATACATACAGTATACATATGCGCTTGAGCATAAACACAAACATCTATGAATGAAAATGTCAAAATTAGCTTATGGGTCTTTTCATATTAGTACAAAGAAAACGTATAGAGTGTAAAAGAAAAAGAGCTTACCTGGTGAAAGCGTTTGAGCTTGAAGAAGAAGAAAATGGGAGGGACAAAAGCGATGAAGGCGAGACTTATGAGAATCGCACGAAATACTCTCTTTGACGAAAATCTGAAGATAAAGGCTCCAAACCCAAACCGCTGCTGCCTCTGCTGGAGGGATAGTCGCCTTCCCAGTCTCGTTGAGATCGCCATTTGGATCATACAGAATGACCACTCAAGTGAAAGAGCGAGGCTTTTTATCACAAATGATTACTGATGTTTACGAAATTATCACCTTGAGGGTTTTTTGTGACACTAATAATCCTTAACGTTTGGACTTTTTATCACAAATGGTCCCTGCCGTAAAAAATTATGTTAAATTTATGATGTGGAAAATAAGTGGAGCCCACATATCTAATCACATCATGATATTTGGATTAAATAAATAAATAAATATTTTTTTGATGAAAATCCATTAAAAAACCATTTAGCCTATCTCTCTCTCTCTACTCTTCAAGTTTTTCAATTCCGAAAACCAAGTTCAAGCTTAAGTTCATCATCTTCTTCAAATAGACAAAGACCAAGAAAAGCCTTGGATGAATTGTAGAGAAATTGAAGCAAATGAGAAGAAAATGGATCAAGAGAAAATAATCCGTGCATATAGAGAAGAGATTGAAGGCCTTAAAGGC